TCAATAGATTATGTAATCAGTGTATTGTATTTGAAAACACGTGCTTTGCCGGTCGCGTTGTTTTTAGTATTTTACAAAGTCACGTTATTGCGGTTACTTGTTGGAAAGATTATGTTGTCATAAACGTGAGGTGTAGCGTGACTTTTATAAACCAGCTTTTGATTGGCATAACTGCATTTTCGCACGAACAAATGACCAATCAGGATGCTCGTTAGTGTGACCAAGAAGCCCTTTGTCCTTCGAATGACCTTCGCGTCATTTGAAGTTAAAGGTAAAACGTGCCTTCCCATTCCAAAGATCAGAATATATGGAATTCGTTACTAGATCGTACCCTGGCGATCTTCTTTGAATTTCAATTTCGCGCGCTCACTATAAAAAAATATCTCCAATTTTTGGGGACAACCGGTTCGCTTGAAACACGAAGAAAGTTGGCTATTCACCGGGAAGTTTTGTGTCTGTGAAAAAGTTGAACTATGACCGGTAAGTACTGTATATATTATCATTGACGGAAATCTTTTTGTTTCTTCACGCATGGCGTTTAAGATCGCAATAACTTTGGCAACTTCTTTCGTTCCGATCAGTAGATGTAATTTTTCACAGCTGTGAACTCAATGTGTTTTCAAGATGTGATATAGATATATTCTGAGACATTTTTGGCCAGTAACTTGGGATTTGAATTTTAGCCCAACAACCTGTTCCTCTTTGTCGAGATATAGCGTTCATTAATTATGTAAGAAAAATAACTTGCATATGCATCTCATTATTAAAATCATTTCAGCAACTTCCTTTATATCGGCTCTTGGTTCGCGAGATTATTTTTATTATTTTTTTTTGGCCGTGGTATGATTTCAGAATCAACTCAGCCGAACGTTTTCTACAAAGAGTGCATTTCAACGCAAACGCCCAAACCAGCTGTCTGGGGAAATTGTTTAGTCTGCGGGGATCGCGGGACCGGGAAACACTACGGAATCGTGGCCTGCGAGGGTTGCAAGGGATTTTTCAAACGGAGCGTTAGAAGAAACTTGAGTTACAGCTGTCAAGGAGATGGTGCCTGTCTAGTAGATAAAATGCACAGGAACAGATGCCAGCGATGTCGATTAAATAAGTGTTTGGCTATGGGGATGAGAAAAGAAGGTAATTTGTGTTCAAGTAACTTTTAAAGTTGGTGTTTTGCTATTATGTAACCTATGCTAAACTAGAACATTGTAACTTTGATAGGCTTACCTTGTGAAGTTAGGTTTACCGATTTTATCCTAATTTGTCGCAGACAAGAAGATGTTTGAAAAACTCAGTAAGCTTGTAAAGCAAAGCGTACTCTACTCTCAGTGCTTTTTACATTCAGTTGTAGTATAGTTTGTCGCTGTGACTTGCTGTTGGACAAACTCGTTTATCGGCTGCTTGCGAGACATGCTGCAGTGAATGAAAGTTTTCAGTGCTTGTGTAATGGGTTATTATAACTGTTTATAATCCCGATATCAATGAAAGATGTTTTTTCTTCGGGAAGCTAGTCGTCATAAGTGGTACAGTAGTTAAAATAAAGCAGGTTTATACTCCAGGCGACAAGTCCAAGAGCAAAATAATAAGACCTAGCCTTGTTTTTTTGCTTAACGTCTTTGGTTAACGTTGCCGTTTTAATTTCCACTAACGCGGAAGGAGAAAAAAGAATGAAATTTTGAAAGACCTACTTAGCGTTTCCTCGTGCAGAACACGCGATTTTCTATGGACCTGCTAATTATTGTCTCCCAGATTAGTATTACGGAGACATGTTCTTAAATGAAGAAGAGATATAGTTTGCGTTTCATTTATGAATGAACTAAGAATGAAATAAAGTTTCTAAATTCTTTCTAAATGATTGCAACTGAAAATATCCACCCCACATGTTACATTCGGCCATATTTTAATTGTCACGTGCTGAGCCTCTTGTCGCAAACACTCGTTCCACGCACACGCGATGTACAGATCGTATTAAAATATCATGTGTCATCAAACATTTTAAATAGACATTACCCGAACATGTTTTAACTGCCCCTGAATCTCCTGTACAGATTCGCGTATGTTACCCTTTGAATTATATAATGTGGCAGCCGACATTTTCGCTTGATCACTACACATCTGACTACGAGGGTCATCGACATCTTCCGGTAGAGAGTGCTAGAGAACTTTGCCGATATTGTCCGCGGAAGTCGAGCGCCCGGCGTGTTTGTGTTTATCGTAGGCTGCACAGTTCTTGTTTCCGATGCATTCGCCTCTGCTGTGAAAATATTGTTTCATGTGGTGTTCGTGACTCGTGTAACAATGACTACTCAAAGGAACATTGCACGTGTGGTCGTGATTATGTAACACGGTTATTTACTTATCTACGTTTCCGTTTTTGCATATATTCTTCGGTGAAATGTGTACGTAACTTTTCTAGAGCTGATTCATCCATTTGTGATCGCAAGGTCAAACTTCTAAAGAACGTGTTACATAACTTGCAACCAGGCAAAATGGAGCACCTGATGGCAGAAGCCGTAGTGTGCTTCTCTTGTACTGATCTTGGTGCCATTTCGACTGGAAAGTGTTTTTCCTCTTCTAAAACAAAACGTGTAAAGAACGAACGATGTACATTTAACCTAACCCGCGCGGCGTGACTCTAATCAGCCTCTAGGCATCTACTCGGAAGGAAGTAATATGCAAATCTTACGCCCCACTGAAACTTCATAATATAATAACAACATACTACCGCGGAAACATCGTGTCTCACGTAAAAATGTGGCTAAACTTAGTGAATCATGGACCGGAAGGATAAATAGTTTTGACCTGACTATAGAGCTCTCCCTTTCGAAACTGTAATTTTTTTCTTTGTGGTCAGCCCGGCCCAGAGAATAATCTTCAGAAGCAATTAAATTATGATTTGATTACCCTTACGTGCAGGAAACACAATACGTGCTTATTTATGGTCTATTTCTATATACATATTTCCGTTTTGTTAAGTCCTTAAACCCACAGAGTATCTCAAGACCTTGTGACCGCACTCCGGTGCAAATGGTTAAGTTACCTGGAAGCAAGTTTAGGGGGAAACGAGAAAAACGCCCTCCATAAACACCGGAACCCACGGCCCCGCCACGAGGTCTTTCTCTTGGGCTGGTTATGATAGATCAATTTCGATATACCAAAATTCATACTTGGCTACACGGCTTAGGGGAATTAAAAAAAAGAAATTCATTGCTGAACCTCAAGATTAATTATTCTGTTGTATTCTTCTAATCCTCTCAGCTAGCTAAGTAAAAAAAACCCAATATATCGAAATTGGCCTATTTTATCGTAATTCATTTTAACCTGTGTCTTTTCTTCTCGCTATAGCTGTGCAGTGTGAAAGAAAGCCTATTTCTGCATGCTCTGAAAATGTCGCAAATGAAAACCATTCGCAAGTTTCGCCGCAACTGTCTTCTTTGAGTCCCGCTGCTTCTGCTTTTTGTCCGGAAAACTCAGAGCGGACAAGTCCTACTCTTCCATCAACAACTTCAAACTCATCTCAAGAAGCAGTTTCTGCGTTCCTCTCTGAAGAACAGCGTTACATCATCAGCTCAGAACATCTCCATTTTAAACTCAAACCTCCGACACTAGGCGTGTCTACAATATCCATGGACTACGTCTATGAAGTTGCCACGCGACTTCTCTTCCTGACGGTTGACTGGGCACGAAGCATCCAGGCATTTCGCAGTCTGGAATGCGCTGACCAACTCGCTTTACTACAGAGCACATGGTCGGATCTTTTTATGTTGGGCGTTGCGCAGTGTTCTAGTTCCTTTCCGCTGTCTCCAATGCTTACACTTGCCGCTCTTCATTTAGAAGAAAGTGAGAACACTGAAGACGAAAAATCCCACGTTGCAAGGAAAGAATCGAACATGGTCGAGAAATTACTGATTTTGAAAGAACTGTTATTCAGTCTTGAAAAGCTTGATCTGGATTTAGTGGAGTATGCGTTACTCAAGGCTATTGTGCTGTTTAATTCAGGTAATTATCAAGCATTTGTGTGTTGTTAGAGGTGAATTTTTGTGGACAGTGCATGGGCACGAAGTTCTTTCATTATTTTGCCTTTCTTCCAATTCTTACTTTCTTGTGGAATTCCGACGGTTAAAGTTCAGTCCTTCGCTGAATGAGTAACGTATTGCACCCTTGAATTGCATGACGTAAAAAGACTTCAACTCAAACCGATTAATTAACCGAAAAACTGTGTCCTCACGTCCAGTCTAAGCTTTCTTCAACGACCACTTGCGCTGAATCCATAAACTGTAAGTGTTCGTAACTGGTGCTGGTGGACCCCTAGAACTAGGCTCTTTAAAGCGACCTTGTGAGAAACGTATTGCGAATGATTGCTTATGAGAGCTTTTAGCAAAAAGCTTGGCACATGTTGTTCAGTTGATCACCCATAAAATCAGCAACAAAGTAAAATAAAAGAGTTTCTTTTCCTACTTATCACTTTCAAAGTAGAGTTTTGGTCGTGGTCGCGGTCGCTTAATGTGTTGGTTGTATACGGGAGCGGCCGCTTAAGAAAACTTTTCATTTCAAAGCTTTAGTCACATTTGTCGCAAAGAGCGCATTCGCGGTATGTATACGAGCATAGTGTCGAGGTAGACTCATAAAATACGTTTTACTTTAATTGGGCGACGAGTAGTCCCTCATTTTCTTCGACGTTTTGGGGGCGTGCAAAATTTGCGAGCACGCGTGGAAAATAGGGTACTCAGACTCGTGGGCTGTGAGATTCGCGTTCACGCGTGGAAAGAGAGGTACTTATTCTCATAGGCTGTGCTTTTATACACGGTTTTTCTCTTTCCGTAAAAAGTCGCCCTTTTAATTGTGCTAGAGTATTGTCATTTTAGTCGCGAACTTGGTCAGCTACAATTACCCTTTAACGTTGGCAGATCTCTTCATGTATGTTCCTTGGCTCCCACATAGTATACAGGGCTCAAAGTAATTTGCGGAGAGTCTTCGGACACCTTGACGGGCCAAATTCTTTTTAGCTCGGTCACGTATCGTTTCTGGCCAGTCAAATTTCGGTCAAGTTTCAGATAAAATTTCCGCGATACACAGCAACTCGGGCTACATACTGATACAACTGTAACAACTGAATATCATGGAAATGTAAATTTATTTCGTTTACAATACGATCGAATGTGACCAGTCTACATGATCGGGAAAATGAAAGGTTGACCGGTCAATTCCCCAATCAGTCCTGACTTTGTCCGTTGACCGTCCGTAATTTCGAGCCCTGGTATATTTTAAAGACCCTAGAAAGGGATGGTGGGGGGTGGGGGTGGGGGGAGTTTTAAGACAAAGTATGTTTTTAGAAGTGATTTATCATTAATTTGCACGGTCATTTTTTTCTTTTGTAGATTGCCCAGTTCTGAAGAATCCCAAACAAGTTGAGCAGCTACAAGAAAAGGCACACCGTTCTCTCAAGCATTATGTTGAGAACATGCACCCCCGTAATCCTGAACGATTTGCAAAAATCCTGCTTCGCCTGCCAGCCACTCGAATGCTGACTCAGCGGGCGGCTGAAGAACTGTTCTTTAGTCCTCTGATTGGTACAGTTAAGATCGAGAGCATCATGAAGAATATCATTTCAAATTCGTTGTCATTTTAATCACTAGCTCTATAAGATCTGCAAGGTTCTCTGCTCTTCAAAATTTCTTTGCTCACCGCGACATGCCTGGAGGGTTATTTGTGTTACCTGTTATGTTGATGTTAAGGAATATTTAACAACTGAGCAGCTTTAACGCTAGCTTCGAGAAAACAGCCGACATTTCGTATCGTCGCCTGCGTAGCATGGCGGTTTTGGTTGGGCGCACTAAGTAATAAAGGCGGGCGAGGGCAGAAAAACCGCGAGGCTTCGCCTCTCGTGCGCCCGGCTTGACAAAACCGCCATGCTACGCAGGCTATTTGTATCGCCACCACTGGTTTCATTTTCGCGGGGCAAACCAGTGATGGCGTCGCGAAATGTCGGCTATTTTCTCAGGCTATTTTAGTACAGACAAGCGCAGAAAATTATGTAATTAAGTGAACCTTGACGGCTTTAAAAATCACTAATGATTCACGTGAAACGTTTGAGTTAAGTTATAAATTTTTCGTCTTTGTTCGTTACATTTCGTTTCTTGAGACGGTCCCGTCCGTATTCGCGGTCGCTCCTTAATATTTGTCTGTTATAAACCATGGGGAGAAGAGAGTCGCATGATTCATAATTCAAGGCAATGTTTGTAAAACACGATAGAAAATTAAACATTTTTGAGATAGAGCTTTTACTGAAAAAACTCTTCTTAAAGAGACAGATATTAAACCAGCCATTCGTCCGTCTTCTTTATATGATAGTGAGTGATACTTGAGGATGCCAACTCGGACCAATGGCTTAAAATGGTCATTTTTCAATAAAACAGAAAATAATTGTTAAAGAAACTGGAGAAAATTAAAACGGTTACAGTTGGTTTTTCTGTACATTAAAAGTTTAACTCCGTTGTTTGTTCCCTCGGGAGACATTTTATTTAAGTGTAAATATTGATTTTGTAAATAAGTAAATCAGATCAAATGAACAGAGAAATAAAAAAATGAAACACAATCAATTAGCATTATGCATCTTAGTTTCTCTCAGGACAAAGTGGGGATTTTTTGAGAACGTGAAGGGCAAAGAGATAACAATTTTACTGTATCTTTTTCTGAGCTCAGCCGCGGTCCTCGGTCTTTCTTCAGCTCCAACTTTATTTCCTAACTTTTGCTTGTAAAACTGAGACTGAATGAAAGGTGGAAAAAGTTTGAAATGGCGTGTAGTAAGTTTTTCAGTGAATGTTTCACTGGAGTTTCCATTGTAAGATCATAGGGCACCTAATAATGAATCTTGACTTCGAGCAGTCTTCGTCAATCGTGGTCGAGTTCCGGGCGTCCAGTGAAACTCATAAGGACAAAGGCGCCGCTCCCGCGTATCGGTGGCGATCTCGACCCAGAGCACTTCTCTACTGCGCATGATCACGCGCGGGGTCAAAATCGTGCGACATTCCACCCACTGATGTCACAGATGGAAGTCGTGAATTGATTCGATAAAGGTTGATTTGGGCATGCATCGGGCAATCGCGCACTGGAAAGCTATATTATTTGGTAATCACTCAATCAAATCATTGCAGAGAGTTGCTTTCCCAGTACACAATGGAGAGGAGAAGTCACCTTGCCATGGTAGGAAAATTTCTGGATGACACCAGACGGAAAGTGAATTTACTTTGTTTTTACTTCCTCGATCTTATTCATTATATTTGTCAAATGTTGGCAAAGTTTTCTGGGGTTGAATCCGATCGAAACGACCGTATTTAAGTTGAAAAGAAAATTTTTGTATTTTGTTGTGTTCACCTACTCTATAAAGCGGTCGCGAGAAATTAGGAAGTTTCATGTCGCTCAACGACGGGTAAGAAATGTGCAAGAACGTGTGAGGCACGCGCAAATTAATGTGTTGTTTTGCTAACATAAATCTATTGTTTTTTTTTGCCGTTCTCGTTGCCGTTGCCGTTGCCGTCGTCCTTGCTTAAACTCCCTATTGTTGTGATCCAGAAATTTTGCTACCATGGTAACGTGACGTCACACTTCTCTCTATTTATCGGGCCTGTTGATCTCTGTTACCTCTCTCTCTCCGTTACCTGGTTACCGTGTTACTCTGTTACCTTGTTACTCTGTTTCCTTGTCACTCTGTTACCTTGTTACCTTGTTACCTTGTTACCCTGTTACCTTGTTACCCTGTTACCTTCTAACAAGTTAACAGAGTAACAAGGTAACAAGGTAACAGGGTAACAAGGTAACAGAGTAACAAGGTAACAGAGTAACACGGTAACAGAGTAACACGGTAACAAGGTAACAAGGTAAGAGTAACAAGGTAACAGGGTAACAAGGTAACAAGGTAACAGAGCAACAAGGTAACAGAGTAACAAGGTAACAAGGTAACAGAGTAACAAGGTAACAAGGAAACAGAGTAACAAGGTAACAAGGTAACAGAGTAACAAGGTAACAAGGTAACAGAGCAACAAGGTAACAGAGTAACAAGGTAACAGAGTAACAAAGTAACAAGGTAACAGAGTAAAAAGGTAACAAGGTAACAGAGTAACAAGGTAACAGGGTAACAAGGTAACAGGGTCACAGAGTAACAAGGTAACAAGGTAACAGATCGAGAGTAACAAGGTATCAGGGTAACAAGGTAACAAGGTAACAGAGTAACAAGGTAACAGAGTAACAAGGTAACAGAGTAACAAGGTAACAAAGTAACAAGGAAACAGAGCAACAAGGTAACAGAGAACAGAGCTACAAGGCATCAAGGAACCAAGCAAGACAAGCAAAAAGAGTGAAGGCGTAAGTTAAGTAAGTAAAATCGGTACAATATATGATCCCAAACATGAAGTACCTACCAAAAACTGAAAAACGCACGCTGGACGAGAACAGTGCGGCCTCATAGCGCATTGATACCGCGGGAAAAATCGGTTCCAGTTTCTCTCGATCAACTTCTTCTCCTAAGCGTTTATACCATGGCTGGCTGACCGTACATTATTAATTTTGTGCTGATATCGATCCGAGCCGAGGTGAGTTGAGCTTTTGTTTGTAGCTTAATTTCGCCTTTGAAATACGAGAATTATCGTGATGAGGCCCTGTTAAGGTTTCTTTGGATGGGCATGATGTGAACAAGGCATGCATGCTATACTGAAGCGGAGTAACCTCTAGTACGTGTAGTTTGTCTGTTAGTTAGGACGATCGATAGAAGTTGATACCTTGCACATGATTGTGATTACTGACGATGTTTTGTTTTTACCAGCCATTTTTAGCCAATTCAGTCCACGCGTTCCATTTCATGAATCGCTAGAAACGTCTGTCATGTTGCTCTGCTGTAAAAAAATACCGTAAAATTCCGAAAATAAGCCCCTCCATGCATAATTTGTATTATTAAAATCCAGCTAGTGACTATTCTCAATGCTGCGTTCTGATTGGTTGAGCTACTACTAGGCTATATGTTATAGCCCACTAGTAGCAAAAAGTGTGGGCTTTTTGGCGGCAAAAAAGGATTGAAGTCTTGCTTTAACTAGCTAAAATTTTTTTTCATGATATTTTTGACCAACAAGTTGGATTTTACTAAAACAATTATTCCTCTCGCCCTCATGGCCTCTGAGTCAATGGCCTCATGGGCTATTGACTCAGAGCCCATTTGGGCTCGAGGAATAATAGTTAATAAGCCCCTCCAAATATAAGCCCCCCCAACTCATAATGCAAAAAACCCTCCGTTAAATCGCCCCTCCGAATATTAGTCCCTGAGGGGGCTTGTACTTGCAAATTGCCCTCAAGTACAATGTAAAACAAAGTAAAAACGGTAAATTTCTTTTCAACTATAAACTAATCCAATCGATTTTGAAACGCCAATTTCCCTCCATACATAAGCCCCTCAGAATATAAGCCCCTCCAAAAATAAGCCCCTCAAAAAGGGCCTTTGAAAAATATAAGCCTGTGACTTATTTGCAGAATTTTACGATATTAAAATGCGTTCCACTGATAAGCTAAATTTGCGTGGACAGTAATTCTATGTGACAGGTGCCGGTGATTCATTTTGGTTAGTTTTTATAGCTCGAGGAAAAACACAGAGGGGAGAGGAGGTGACTGCAGCAAAGCCTCTAGTTTTCTGTTCTCTGAAGGGCTCCTCTTGGGAGTCAGTCTGTGACCTTGATGAATTATTTGTCAGTCAATGGAAATTCGAGTCTTGTAAACAAACAGCTTTCAGAAACAGATGGTAATGGCAGGAGAACTGTTTGAATTGTGCTTGCAAGAAGGGTTGAAAGAGCTAAGCTCCAAGAGAAATTGTTTGCTTTAAAAGCATTGTGTTGTCTTTTTCTTGATGAAGATTTCATGGCAGTGTTACAAACTGGGTTCAGAAAGTTTAATTTTCTAGCTACTTGTACTATGGATTTGAGTGGGAAACAGGCTTGCGAGCATTGTTGTTATTTCCCCACTGCAAAGCATAATTTGCTGTCAAGCAGCATAGGAAACTTTGAAGGGAATACTCCCTTTAATGACCTATATGAGGAGGCTCTGCCCGAAGGGGTACCATTTTCAGGCTTCAGGTATATAAAGAGTAGGGATTTTACTTCTTGAAGTATACATTTTGTACAAAAGGGTAGGGGAATCTGTCATTTGAGTCTGTGAAAAGGCTCAAGTAGTCTGCTACACAGCCATTTTTAGTGTCGTCACGCAATGTTCCTCCCCACAAATGGCTGCTGAGAACGGAACCACATTCCTTTCCCACAGTTAGCCAATTAGAAATTAGCTCCCATCTTCTGGAAGGTGTTCTTGCCGTGTTTGCGGTACGGTGACTCCTCCAATCACAGCTTTCCTTTTATCGGTGCCCCATGTGTGAATGACGGAACAATCAAAAAAAGGAATTAACTAGAGCACCGTTGTCGCAGCCTAGTCCTATTCAAATTTTATGAGAAAAGCAGCAGCCGCAAGAAAGTCAACGAAATGTAATGCACATTATGGATGCGCTCATAAAGTTGTTGGGTATAGTTCGGGAAATCGCTCATTGATAATTAAAATTACAAAATTGCTTTTGTTTGAATCAGTACCCTTCACATGTACAGC